GAAGCTGAGGGACTCTAATCTGTTCATAACTCATCTTTGACTTTGAACTTCACCCTCTAAAAAGTCAACAGTAAAATGTATAGCATACTTAACCTTACGTTAGTCGATTCACTTGGCCTTCTATTTTACTTTCTTTTACTTACTTTCATTCTTTGGGGACAGCTAGTATTGCCATTTCTATTACTTCTATTTCTATTATTATTTCTATTATTTGAGCACGAAGTTTAGTCAAAAACTCATGAGCGCTAAATTGAGTTCAACATCAAGAAGTTGTGCTTAGTTCATCGCTGTCACTACCTTTAAGTTTGATCCTAGCAAACAGGCCAAGGAGAGATCAATTTATGTTGATATAATGCAGTGATCAGTTGGTTACTACTAGGAAAGAGACCGTAAATCATGTAAACTCGATTAAGCTGCTCCTGCAGGCGCTTTTGAAGTGATATCGTCCAATACTTGCTATTTGTAAGCGTAGAATCGCCCAGACAAGTATTGGAAATCAATCTCCACTTCCATTTTCCATCACTTGTAGGCGTGGCCAGTGGTAACACCAGCCAAGCAGTCATGATATTTGCGAACAGATCATAGAGGATTGGGATTCTGGCCCCTCCCAAATTTGATCTAAGCTCCCCTGTAGAAGTCGCTGCCAGCCAGTGTACATCATGATACTTCATGATACTTCAGATATATGAAATGGGATAATATGAATCGGACCTTTTGTCACAGTTCGGGGTGACTGCAATTTCAAGCGTAGCCTGGCATTTAGCTGGAAAATCACGGCTCTTTTACGTAAATATACATCGCAACGGAATAAGAAACTGAAAATCACCTTCTCATATCGGCAAAGGATCAGAAGCACGCCTCTTGACGAACCAATCCATGTAGGAGGTTTAGTAAAGCAAGTTTCAAGCGTTCCACGGCCAATACGATTGAGCTCTTGCGGCAGGGTGCGCTTCGTTGCGCGTGTCCGCCGAAATTAGGTCACGCCGCAGCCGTCGCACGCGGCGAGTTGGCCCGCGACATTTGAAAGACGTCGCAATTGTCAGTGGGGCATACGCTTCGCGTTTGGTCCACGGCAGTCAGTTCAAGAAGAATATAACACAAACAAATGCAAATCATTTGCTCCAATGACACTTGGGGGTACTGTAATGTCACCTCGAGACCTCAGTATGATGCGCCGCGCGCGAAGTGGGCGGGGTGACCTACTTTCGACGGACACGCGCAACGGACGTTCTCCCTTGCGGCACCTTTACATCGCTGTTAGAGTATTCCCCTGACGGCCAACATTTTCCATTCTTCAGATTCTGTTGTGAGTCTATTCTAACACCTCAAAGAAACGGTGGCTGACTGATGGCTTTTGTTCTGAGGTGGAAGATAAATTATGTTTACTTCAAAGTTTTCAAAAAAAAAGCCAAAAGATGAAGTATTAAGTGAAGACGCAACATTTCGTTTACAATAAAGAAAAGATTGAACGAACCAATTTCATCCAGTTGAACTTGTCTTCTTCTTGTCATCAGATACGGTATCAGTGTAGCAATAACGTAGCTGAGCAATTGCTGAAGGCATCTACCAGTCTTATATGCATCTATCACCTTGATTGGTGAAATTGGTGCATAGGCCCCTCCTAGTTACTCTTCACACTGCGTCCAGGAAGAGGACACGTAGGAGGCGTGTATGTACTGTCACAGCGACCGTCCCCAGAGGCCATTGAATTCCCTTCGCAAGTGTCAGTGAACAGTCAAACGAACCTCACAGTCCGCCTGAGGGAATGGGAGGGAAATAACAGTCCCTGGAATACATGAGCTCATGAGTCAAAGATTCCCAATGTTTGGATATTTACTAACAGGGTTTCTTTACTTGAGCGTAACCAAATTCTCAGTTTGCATAGCTCGATCCATATATGGCCCTGTTCTACACTCTGTTTTACATAGGCTTCAGCAATCTGTGCTCACTGCGGGTGCTTGACAAAACCCATGCAGCCGATCCGTTATCTTTTGAGTAGTCACGCTTCTTTTTCGTCGTTTAAGACGGACAGCACACAACATAAAGTCACTGATAAACATCTATCAGCATTTGTCCACGGAAAAGGACACCATCACCATCACAATTCTTCTCACGAGTTCAGTTACGTCTGCAGGAGTGATGTCAACAAATATCTCACCAGAGCACTCTTGCATGACCGACCCAGTGTGCAAATGCTTTTTGTTCTCGCTATTTTCTCGCCCCTTTCGTGTGGAGCACGTCATCCACCAAAGTTGTTTTTGCATGCAAATAATGCAGAATAGTTGGAAATTCGTGAAGGCATGAAGTGTAGAGAGCGAAATGATCACTCTTGATATTCGTATGATATACGCTAGGGATACGGCTTAGATTGAATTGCTGAAGGCTCTGAATTAGCTTATATAATGATAACTAAAGCCGTTCAAAAGACTGATTCTAGCCTCCCAGACATGTGTGGTATGTACCAGCTAACTACTGACATTCCGCTGTCCTCGACGAAACATTGTTAACTGAGCCGTAGTGTGAACAGAACTTTAAAAAGAACAAGTACAACCAGCCCTTCAGTTACTTCACGAAAGCTCTGAACAAAGCGAATGTTGGAATGGAACGAAAGGAAATAATACGTCGTTCACCTTCCTGGTTTCACTTTGGTGTAAGACGGTTAGCAACGCGAAGAACACCTACTTCAACGCATAGCGCAACTAGACCTTTTCACAACGAAATTTCTTATCAAAAACGGCCAAATTTGCAGTGAAAAATGGAAGTTTACAGTTCAGTTTTACATAGGTTCATTTTCAAAAAAGGACATCTAAATGGTGGCGTGAACTCTGTTGTACAACTTTGGGCAAGTGACCCCAGCAAATCCTCATGCCACGGCTCCTCGTCCACCCACTGGATCAGGAATTTTCCCTGACTCCTGGCTTTCCTGTAAACTAACTGTAACTGTAAGTGCCCATCGCCAGAAACTCGAGTGTAAGGTTGCAGCAAGAAAATTGATCAGAAAACAACTGAAAGTTGTCCATTTCGATGGTATACGTCACGCCCATAAGGATGAAGACACAGTCGCTCGACTGCTGCTCAAGCTACTTGGGGAATTTACAACAAGCGAATGGAGCAACAAACCCTTGACGATTGCCACAGTACACGAATGGAGTGCTCAGCTAACGATACACTTCCCACGGACTAGATTGGTCGATCGGTTCTCAACAATGACTGACAGAAAGCCCTACCAAATAATTGAAACGGAAAGCAAGAACGCTTCCGGAGCAGAAAAACGATCGTTCCTGCAGGAAAGTCATTCCCTGCATTATGTCTCTCATCAACGGGAGATGGGCAATAGGAACTGTTCTGTCTAATCGGACCGCCGCACGCGGCTGTCGCGGACCATTCGCCTCGTTATAACAGTTCTAGCGTTCTTCATACAGCTCAATCGCTATGCGATTATTACTTTCGGCATTATTCTACTGTTACTTCTACTGTTCCTGTATTTCTTACTTGCTGCTGCATCCTGCTACATTCCATCGCGAGCGGCGTCTCCCTCGCCGCGACGCGGCAATTTCGTTCCTATTGAACCATATCCCTCATGCCCTCCCATTTCATCCTCAGTATCAATATCACACTTCAATTGCCGATTTTTATAATATTTATTCAAATACTCAAATGGCTATTTGGTTCTACAAACCGCAAAATAAACGACACATGAGGCCAGTCATTCAATAGAAAAGCTAAGGAGCTCGCATGTAGATGACTGGAAATGAACATTCAACACACGAAACACATGTTAACGTTTGCTGGGAGCGGCAATAGAGAGAACGCGCAGGACATACAGTCGGACCATAGAAGCCCAGACCGAAGAAAATCTCTTATAAAACTTTTTAAATCTTCTCCAAATCACGTAGTACAGTTTACGCAGCTCACAAGCATTCAAGGCATAGTTGTGCAAAAAAATAATAATAATAATAAAGAACACTGAAACAAAATTTAGCTAATGTAACCATTTCCTAGAAAAAAAAGCCAAAATTCAGATCATCAGCGCAAAGCCATATATGATAGTGGATGTGCATTGGCTCAACGTGACTGAAGTGTGCGATGACGAACGAACAACAAACCATGAATTCATAACAATTATTCTAAAGCGAAAATTATGCTAAATTAGACTTTCTTATCAAGCGCTAAATTTTGTGCCTCACAAATTGGTTCAATGAAACACCAATCTGCGGGGGGACAACAAGCGACAACAAACGTAGGCTGTCTTCGCATCTGGGACAGACATATAGTATATTTATAACCCTTTGGGTAACCGGCGACTGTAGCCCAAAGACTAGCAGCTGGGAGACAGTATCGACGAAACAAAAAGCGACTGCAGCACATGAACAAATATTCAGGGGATAGGGTATGCATAGAGGAATCAGCATTCGCGATCCTAGGGGAACTTTGGCACTTATCCCAATTCGATATCCTACATATCTCAAATAACATCAGCTATGTCCTTCGGGTACACCACTCACTCATCGTTCACTCTAGGTCTAAATATCTCACAAATTTGCTAGACTCCATAGGAACCACACCAGCCTTACGAACACTCACAGGACAACTAGCTTATCATGGGTCACTCTGAAAAATCCAGGAGAGAATGGTGAAATTAACTCATCTTCCCCACACATTCTAGACTAGCTACACTGTAAATACTTCCAAGGCCATTCCCAATGAGTTCACCCAACAGAACTCGAGACAAAGTCATGGAACCGCTCACGTATTGCACATAAGGATTCTGTTGAAGCACTGAAATGCCTCTCTACTTTCATCATACTCAGTAATTCCAATGTGCAATGACGTGAGCGAACATAATCGATACCTTTTTGTCTCACTAGAATATTCTCGCAAGTGCAGCCTGGGATAACTGCTTATAGATAGCATTTTCTGAATAAAAAAAAGAGCATGCTTCAAATAGCTAGACAACGAGCAATTTGCAGAACAAAGACCAAGAGCAGCACATTTGACGACTAGAAAAGCTTGTGCTTGCGTTTCAAATTGATACGCTTCCATTCAGGCAGTTTGTAAAACTCGATCGGACTCATACCAAATAGTCTCTCAAACTCATCACGAGCCAAATGTCGTTCCAAATGTTGCCTGAAATATTGGCTCGTTCACAGCTAAATCAAAAATCTTACAGTGTACTTCTTTTAGGAAGATTTTTATAAATTTCCAACCCAGAACATGATCAGACAAGTGTTCGACTGAAATATCCCTAGTGTCACAGCGAAAGCAAGAAACTTTGCTGCAGGTATGAGTTGTGGCCAAAAAGCAATGGAGGCCCAAAATCCGGGCCAAGGAATTTAATCAAAGTTTAAGGTTCACGAGAAGCCTCAGTAGTAGATAAAAAAGCATAATGAGGTTACTGGCATTCACGGCTGGTCTGGCATCTAGACGAACCTAGAGAGGTGCCAGAACTTTGGTACCAAGTTAACCTAATTAGGGTTTCTCGCACTCAGGCGCAAGGCGGCCATAATTACATTAGAAATTAAAAGTACATTCGGAGCGAAAACTAACACATCATTAAGTTCAATGCCTAACAATTATGCAACAATGAATAAGCTTGCCCACATACTTAGTAAAAAAAGAAGACAATGCGTGTTTGCCTGAAGTTCATTGAAAGCTCATTTGGACGTAAAAAATGCAACGCTTTCCACTAATTTCACCTCAAAGACACAACGACCTTCTTACCTACTACCACAAGTTGAACTAGTTCCCTTGGAAACGTATTCTTTTACGGACCAACTAGTTCGTTTGATTATCTGGCCTTTTCTGTTAGTTCATATTCTATTCCAACCACGCCGATATTCAGAAAGCATCTCTGGTGTTTCGCACCTAATCATGGAAGCGCTTAAGTGCAAAGAATTGTGACTGGCTCAAGCTCTAGAAAATATTCATGAATTGAAGGATCTCTCCACATGTCATTGCAGTCAAAAATGTCCGTGGTACTTTCACCCCCATTACAGTGTTCAATGGAAAAAGCAATTAAAAGACTATATAAAGCCGATGAAATGTTGAAAAATGAAGGGTGATTGAAAGGTTACCCAAAAGCAAAGAGAAAATTTCAAAAAATCCATAAGGAATCTTAAAAGTGAGACTCTGGTCTCGAAGACTTTAAAAGCGGAGGGCTGAGACACTTAGACAGTGTGCTACGAACGAAGGAAATGTGAATGACGACTAAATCAGCTTCTCAAAGGCATCGCACGCAAATGATTGAGAGGCGGTACGCATCAACAGAGGGGAACAGTTTTTATCTTGCCTATTCGGTCTTTTACTATGCCCCCTACTCAATCCCTTTTTTTGAACAACAACGCTTCTCGTAACATCCTTTTGTCAAGCGGCACCTTTAAATACGCCGGCGTTAACAATGTGCGCATATACTATTTATCGTTCGCGCTATCTTTGCACAGCTCAACACAATCACCCATGATAATTCACTTCACTAAAGCGCTACGCTAAAGCTCAGTGCTCCGAGTAGGAGCCTTTACGATGCTACTCCAATTTCATAACAAGAGGGAACTCTGGTTATGAAAGAAAGGCTCCTGAATAAGGCTCACGCTCGAAGTGCACTCCATGTCACATGAATCTACGCAAATGAATAGGTATTTTGCTCAAGAAATAATTCCTAAGAGCCCAATTTAGATTTTGGCGGTTTTACGAAAAATATGGAGTAACGAACGTTGACACCGCAATGCATATTACTTAATACGATACATATATACTCTAGCTCTGGGCGTTTCAAAAACATGCAATCGAATGAAGTGACAAAATCAACAAGAATATCAAAGACAAACCTATCAACGTCTTCTGGTAGCTTTTTGTTTGTCGTCTGAAGATCAGCCAAATCGTAGATTTTTGCTGGTTTACTCATATCAGGAAGAGAAGAGCGCAGAGTGTGGCGCATTTCTCCAACAGTTCGCATACCGCCCATTGTGCCCGCTAGCGAATCTTCAAATGAACTATTCGAAATCAAAGATTCCATAAATCAGGAAAATGAGCTTTGGTTCGATGTTTTTTCCAGCAGCAGCATATCTGCATAATTAAAACAAAGGGGCAAGGCAGTCGAACAACTGCAAGCCCATTACTTGTTCAATTAATTGGTTGAACTACTACTACTCTATCTTCAGCGCATTGTTGATCGAGAGAGATGTCAAAGAGTCTCTGTTTCGTGATGAAATTTCGTTCCACTTTCGAAGTATCACAGTGGAATGAATACGATCGTCCCATGATAAAAATATACCCTCATAAGTGAACCAAGATAAGCCTGACCAATTCCATCAAACTGTTCCAAACTCACTTCAAGAAATATGAACTATTCATCTCACTAAGATCCACTAAATTCAGCACATTAATTCCAAAAAACGGGCACTTCAAGTTGCATCAACGCTGCTCCAACAAAAGGGCGATATCAATAATATAAATATGGAACTCGCTAGAAATCGCCTATATTATTTTTAACGCGAAAAATCAAATTCACTCACGATCTGAGTACTGGCTGCTGATAGTAGTATCTAAATTCTCCATAGAAAGTGTCCCGTAGTTGTACCCGGTCGGAAGTGTTGCTGCTCGCATAGTGCTGCCTGAAATGGCTACTCAGCGGATAAATAAGCAATCGCATCGCAAAAGTTGCGCTCAACAGTGGTGAGAAGCAAAGAGAACAATCAAGCTTTGGAAGTTTCAAGATACTTATACCAATCAAGACATTACCTCTGCTCTCTGGCACATGGAAACATGGCAGTGTATTTCCTTGAGCTCGCTCACCACCCTGCCAAGCAACCCATGGTCTCGGACGGTTGAGATGACGAGAAGGTGCTGGAAATACAGTTGTCAATTTCATCATGCACTTCTATTCTACACAGGACACAATGCAAAACTTGAACTCATAACAATCATGGAGCAACAGAATTGGGAATACTATTGGTTTGTCCACCCTTCTAACTATTATTTCTCTTCTGGTCAATCTCAAACACTCTGCGCTGCGCATGCGCCTCAAACGAAAGTAGCAGCTCATAAACTCCAAAACGACGTGTGCTACAGAACGAGAGGCAACAAGGAGCATTTTCCATCGCCTGCGCTCGACTACGTACCGGTTTAGGTGATGTACCATCTATTTCTGCAGCATTGGAAAGCAGCATTGTTTGCGCCATTTTCGAGAATGCATCACGTGACCTCCTGGCTACCCCACCATCAATCCCGTGTCCGTGCCCAGGTCCCCTTCTGTATGCGTCGTATATGTGACGGATGAAAATTTCTGTATTCAAATAAGGTTATGTCGTGAAAGGAAGTATATTGTCTACATAAGTTCTGCAGAATTCGGAAGATGTTCTTTGAAGCCTTCCGCTTTCCACCTTCACTCACTGTTCCAGAACCGCAAATTGCCTGCTATATTGCGCTCACGTCGGTGCTTATAACACCGACGTGAGCGCAATATAGCAGGCAATTTGCGGTTCTGGAACAGTGAGTGAAGGTGGAAAGCGGAAGGCTTCAAAGAACATCTTCCGAAT